AATTTGCCCTGCATGTTCTCCTTCGCCCTCTGACGCAGCTGACCAACCTTGAGCAGCCATTATCTCCCATAAGGAGGGGCTGCCCTAGCATGTTGTTGATGTTACCAGTTTATGACCGGGCAACTCTGAGCCATAAGCGACAACAAATGTGATTCAGTGTCCTCAGCTGTTTAGTCTATCTATTGAAGAATGTTTATTATTACACTCTGAACTAGTTAAAACCTTGAGTTACAGGAGAGTTAATGAGGATTGATTGTGGCATCTCAACCGTGTGGTCAACTCGTGGCCCGTGACATGTCTTGTGAATTCTCCGGCCGAAGCTCCAAATAAACCGCCAGTGTTTGCCATCAAAGCTCCAGTTCTCCTCGTGTCTCTGAGTCCTGACTCCAATTGCTTCAGAAGTTTCCCCCACAATTATTATGTTATTTTTTAAAGGTCACAGGTATTATGCAAAATCCACTTTTTCACGTCTTTTATACATAAACATGTGTCCCCTCTGTGTGAAGAGATTCTGAATAATTCTATATAAAAACCTGTCTGAAGATTAGCTGATCAGATTTTGAACACTTTATGATATCATAACAATTGTTTGGCTTGTGTTACCATTAGCCAATCACCAACCAAGGTAACCCCCCCCCCGCCCCCCTTATCACCTGAATCTCCTCCTAGAGCACCATTGTATTCTTTGTAACCAAATGTCTCTCAGAGGGGCGTGTGGAGGGGCTCCTTATTTTCCTCGAAAGTAACAGACAGAGAATCAGCACTTTGGAAACAGGGCTGAAACAGAGGGGATTATGGGTAATGCTGCAATGATCTGTTTGGTGTTTCAGCCAATCAGAGACAGGCTCTGGATATATCTGAGACCTGTGATATATTGATGAAAAACAGTATAATAGGGGACCTTTTTAAGGCAGTAAAAATAATTTGTTTATTTGCTTCCTGATAAAAGCTAACGGCGAAATGTTTGACAGAAAATGTTTTTATTTTTGAAGTGCAAGTACGTGTCCTGCTCTTTCCTGTTATGATTTTAAATGAATATGAGTATGTCGAGTGCATTTGCGCCGTCTTATACCGTTCTTGTTGGAAACTGTTATATTAATATAAAGTATAAACGTAGTTCTTCATCCGAACACAACATGTGTAGATTCAAGTCATCGGTCTGTCTCGAGAGCTGTTAAAACCTAATGATATGCTTTCATTTCAGGTTAATAAAATGGAGTGGTGGAGCAAGATTGTGTCCACAGATCCAGAAATTAACACCAAGAAAGTCTCTCCAGAGAACTCAAAGGTAAGTGATTCGACGCTGACGTGTTTCAGGTGTGTTTTTCCTGCTTGAATCTGTAGTTAAGGTGTGTGTGTGTGTGTGTGTGTGTGTTTTCTGCTGAGCAGCTGTCAGATCTGGACGGAGAGACGCGTGGTATGGTGGAGAAGATGATGTACGACCAGAGGCAGAAATCAATGGGTCTGCCGACGTCTGAAGAGCAAAAGAAACAAGACATTCTCAAAAAGTGAGTTCATAGAAACACACGGGGTTCGTACGGGTGCTTGAAATCCTTGAAAAATGTAATGTGGTGTTTTCAAGGTTTGATGGTTTACTCTTTTAGAAATATTAAATATCATCCTTCTCCCGAATGCTGTTACGTAACACACATTTGTTTATAGCATAAAGAACATCTGATTTAATGTGAGGTAGTGAAACAATAATTTGAGTTTAGGTATGTGTGTATGTATATATGTAATTTACCATAGCTGTAAGCTGCTTCAAATTCATTTTGAAAGTGCTAGAAAAGTGCTTGAATTTGACTTTGGAAAAGGTGTAAGCAACCCTGAGTACTCCCGTTCCTGTTAGCTATCATGAAGCTCTTTTTATTGTCACCTGACCTCTGTGGTGTTTCTTATTGGCTCACACAGTTGAACAGAAACATTATGATATATATAAAGGTTTTATATGAAGAGACACAGACCTGGTTTAAGTCCTACCTATGCTATTGCCTAAAGATAGCATGATAGGTGACCCGGCGCTCTTATCATGCTGTTGGTAAAAATCCTCCTCGGTTATTTTGAGCTCCACTTCCTGTTTCACGCTCGTTAAATCTGCCTCTAAAATCCTGTTTGGTTTTATTACAGTTAAACAATACCTCTGTAGTCAGAAGGCTGCTCTCAGTTGTTTTGTTGACATAAAGTTCACATGTGTCTATACCATGGATGTATAATAAGAACTGGATACAGCGTAGGAGGCGGGGTCTCGTTCATTCCTATGAGAGTTGCTCATTGGCGCATGAAGACAAGATGGCCCAACTTTTGAGAGAGCGAAACGTCACGAAAGTAATCATATAATCCGTTCTTATTGTGCATCCATGGGTAAAGGTAAAAGTCATGTTGTACTGAACTCGTCACATTAACGTGCGGCNAGGGCGGAGGATCGCGGCGTACACCGGTTTATATTATAAAAAATTTGCGTCATTATTTGTACTCTTCGAGGGGTAGTCTGTTGTGCAAACACCCTTTCTGGTCGGGGGTCCTTCACGCGACCTGAGACTCCTTTTATAAGCAACACCGGTTTGCCGCCATGATTTGAAAGCATAGTCAGCGACCCGGGCCTTTCTGAAAATAAAAAACTGCGCCTAGATTGGGTGCCCCTGGCTGGCACGGGCGTGCAATTACACTGCTCAAGTCATTCTGTACTAAAATGGAAATGGAGGTAGAAATGTCAGAATTTAAAAAAGTAAATAATGCAACCTTTATTTAAACCGATTTTTCACATTCAGATCAGACCTCTTTTCCAAATTGGGACCAGGAATTAATTTAGGATGTGAATAAGGGCTGAAGAATCAATCAGATATTATCACAATATTGATTATAGACAATATCTAAATCGCAGAAGGATTTATTAAAAGGGGAAATGTGTGTTGATGCAGAAATATGACCACCTACAAATTGTATTTTACAGATTATCACACAAAAAATATATTTCCCTTTTTATATACTTTGAAGTTTATCCCAATTGTGAAAACTAGTAATTAGTTATATAAATGTTTATTTTATGTTATCTTTTATTGAATATTCCTACTATAAATTATTATGTTTGTGTAAAAATATATTTTATTGTATTATTTAAGCTCTAATGTGGATCCTGGAAAATAGATTATATTGTTTTGAAAGCTGTTTTAAAGGTAATATAGAAAATAAAAGATGTCATTTGTGATGATTTCTGACTCTTAACTCTCTGTCTCTGCAGGTTCATGTCCCAGCACCCGGAGATGGATTTCTCTAAAGCCAAATTCAGTTGAGACTGCAAGAGAAAAGCATCTCAAACATCCCATAATATCACATCGGAGCGTCAGGCTCTCCTTACAGGACAGATTAACATGTCTCTAACATGTCTTTAGGTGCAGAGGTTTGCGTGTTTTTGTCAAAAGATTGAAATGTTCTCCCTTTGCATGTCGTCTCAATATTTAAAGATGTGTCTGGATTTTTTTTAAATAAATAAACTTAAAATCAAATGACTGTGATACTTTTTTTATTTCACTGCACAATAATGTAGATATTAAGTGTATAAAAATAACTCAAATAATGTCAAGAGGAACATTTTAAAATCCTTTGTTCCTGCTCTCTTTCGTGTTTTTATTTGTGCTATGAAATTGGAAAATGAAACCTGAAAGAGTTTAGATCCAAGACTAAAGATTTTACGTTTTACGATCAGATTCCAAAGTCTCAATGTGGACGGCACTCATGTCTAAACCATTAGGTCGGGGAAGAAAGGGCAATGACCTTATATCACTTGTGTGTCAATGAAATGTTAAGACATGGGCCCTTTCTCATTTCTCTAATTCCCCTCCTCGACTCCCATCCTCAAGACTTAGTCCCGCCCACAGGAGATGCGAGCGGAGGACTGAGGAGGGGAACCGAGGAGAGAGGAGTGGAAGCAGCAGGCGGTTAGAGAAATGAGAACTCCTCTCCTCTGAGCGGTCATTTTAAAGAGACGTCCATTAATGATGACAGGAGGCACAGCAGCACTCTGTCTGATGGACAGATCAGATGTGTTCAGCATGACTTATATATTTACTTTTAGTTCATTCACAGTGCGGTATAATGAGACGATAACAGGCTACAGATGCGGACACACACACACACACACACACATATACAGGACTGTCTCAGAAAATTAGAATATTGTGATAAAGTTCTTTATTTTCTGTAATGCAATTTAAAAAAACAAAAATGTCATACATTCTGGATTCATTACAAATCAACTGAAATATTGCAAGCCTTTTATTATTTTAATATTGCTGATTATGGCATACAGCTTAAGAAAACTCAAAAATCCTATCTCAAAAAATTAGAATAGTTCCTCAGACCAAGTAAAAAAAAAAGATTTATAACAGCAAAACACAATCAAACATTTGAAAATGTCCATTAATGCACTCAGTACTTGGTTGGGAATCCTTTTGCACAGATTACTGCATCAATGCGGCGTGGCATGGAGGCAATCAGCCTGTGGCATTGCTGAGGTGTTATGGATGCCCAGGATGCTTCAATAGCGGCCTTTAGCTCATTAGCATTGTTGGGTCTGGTGTCTTTCAGCTTCTTCTTCACAATACCCCACATATTCTCTATGGGGTTCAGGTCAGGGGAATTTGCAGGCCAATCGAGGACAGTAAT